CCACAGGGCAGGTGCCTCTGGCTTGCCAGCCTGACCCTAGGTAAAAGCTTGTCTGTCCCTGTCACCCAAACACCATGGTAAACAAGGCAAAAGGCCTGGGGACAAGCAAGACTTTGGCCTCCATCCGGGAAGCATCCCTACGACACTCATCCTTCGGCACTCACAGAGCCAAAGCCTCCGATCTGACCTGCATGGGGGAGGGCAGAGAGGACCACGGGAGCTCCTCACCAGGGTCACGGGAGGATTTGTGAGAAGTGTACGGAGAGAGCTTGGCTGGTTACCAGCATTCCTTTGTTCTCTTATGCAACTTGGATTTGCTGAGTGTCTACTACACGTCAGGCCCTATGCTGGCTGAAGACACCGAGGCAGGGACAGAGAACCCTGCCCTCCGGGAGCTAACCTCCCTCAGGGGAATGCAGATGACAGATACATCACTTAATATGTGACAGATTGCCGGCTGGTGATAAAGGTTGTCAGGGAAAGGGGCAGAGAAGACAGTAGGGTGTGGGGGTCCTTCATTTTCCCTTTTAGGTAGGACCTGAAGGTGATGGCGGACGGCCATGGAGGAGGTGATGTAAACCACATAGGAAAACTGAGGGAGCCAGCCTTGTCGACTGCTCAGGGAATGGTGGTTCAGACAGAGGGAAACCCATGTACAAAGGCCCTGGGGTGAGTGCCAGCTCTGAGGCTCCAGCCTCCCCCTTGGTCTATGCTAGCATGTGTGTGTGCTGCTCTCTGTCCATTCAGTCATTACAGTCCTGGATTTTCACACACAGACCCCACACAAAGGCTTCCCTGTAAGATGGTGTATTTACATTTTCTAGAAGGGAGTGGGGGGAGGGCAGGACAGGCTTGTGTTCTTTCACGAAGTAAACAAGAAGAATGTGACCAAGTAGACAGCAGAGCTCTGAAGATGACATTTACACCAGGATAGAGTCAGACCCTGTTCCCAACTTTCTAGGATTCAATGGTGTGTGTGTGTTTGTGTGTGTGTGTGTGTGTGTTCATGTCTAATGTATCTGCTTACCTGGAGGCTAGAAGACACCCTCAGGAAGGCCATCGGCCTCCTTGAGACAGTGTCTCAGTGGCCTAGAGCTCAGTAATTATGCTGGCCTGGCTGTTCAGTGAGTCCCAGGGATGCCCCTGGCCCTGCCTCTCACAGCGAGGGATCCCAGGTGCCCATGACATTTTCTCATGTGCTCTGGGCTTGAACTCAGGTCCCCACACGACCAAGGTGAGAGCTTTATGATCTGAGCTGTCTGCCCCTCCCACATGCCCCCTTCCCCCTCCCCTCCCCTACCCACCCCACCCCCCTCTGGGCCTCAGTGAGACGCTGTGAAGACCACTCTGCACGGTCTGAAATCCAGGATTCTCCACCAGGGATTTGCACTACCAGGACACTCTGTCTGCCCATGCTCAGGGACTAGAGGGACAGGTACTGGGCTGGTGCTCAGGAGCTGTGTGAGGTCAGGAACATGACTCAACTTCTCTTGTCTCTGTCTCCTCGTCTGATGAGAGGATGGCCTCGTACTTCCCTCTTAAGACCTCCGTGGGAGGGAAATGAGCTGAGGTGTGAGATCCAAGCTCTGGTGGGGAGGAGCAAGGCACTGGCTGTTGTCATGGCAACCAAAGCCCAGACCTTGTATCGCCCTGAGCTTTGTCTGAATTCACAGCCCATTGAGATAGGGAGTCCTTGCCTACCAAGAAGGAAATTGAGGCTCAGAAACTCAGCCTTCAAGCCCAGAGCTATCCCCTCTATTCCTTCATCTTAGGGCCCCTATTCATTCATCACTAATGCTCTCTGAGCCTCAGTTTCCCTTATCTGACAATGTGAGCGCTATCATTCTTGAAGATTGAGTTCAAAAGTCACAAAGCCCCATGTGTCCATGGTTATTGTGTCATAGGCCCCAAAGGATACCCAGGAAGGCGGACAGCATGTCGGCCATGTTGAAAGAGAGGCCCAGAGAAGCCAGTGACTTGTCTGGATCACAGAGAAGGCCTGTAGGGTGAGAATCCAGTCCTGATCTCAAATACCCACAAACAGGGAAGGAAAAGCCTTCTCATAGCCACCCACTGACAAGAGAATGAATCAAACAAAAGAAAGGGTACCTCTGGGACTTGTAGATGAACTACCACCCCCTGAAAAGATCACTGCCCCCCAGGTCAAGCCTTTCCAGAAGACACCTATGGGCAAACTCAGAAGGTCCTAAGGGGATCTAGCTGTTCCCCAAGGCTCAATTTAGCCGCAATTACAGCTTGCTCAGTCCACTACCTGTGCAACATTGTATAGCTGTCCTGCCTGCAACTTCCTCAGCCGCCCTTCTTCAGAGCATCCTCAGAATCACCCAGTGGTGAAGAACTCACAGCGGCCAGGGGCCCAGAACAGCTGTTTGTTCCTTGTGGAACCAGAGGGGCGGAAGTTTTTCTGCCAGCAGACAGGCTAGTATTAACTCGAAAGCATGTCACAGTGTCCCAGCCACACCCACTAGCTATCCAGGCCACTGATACACTTCCACCTCCAGAGATGGCCTTTGACATCTGTCCAGAACTGCTGGCAACCCTTGGGGTCATGGAAAATGTTCCCTGGGGGCTGGGAATTCTAGGCCTCCCCTTGGCTTGTACTTCTCTCCCAGCTCACACCTTGAATCACAGTATATGCTGGGAGCCTGTCTGTTCCCCAATCCCAGCTTTCCTCAGTTGACCAGCTCCTTCTGGACCATCAGAATGTGTGGCCTATCACAGAGATAGAAAGCTGGGGCTGACCTGGTACAGCCCCCATTACTCCATAACATAGCAGGTGTCAGATGCCCTGGTCCTCAGAGTTTCTTCTCTTGTCTGGTACCTGTCACTCAAGGATTTCCAGGCCATGTGCCACCTGCTTGGTGGTCTCGGCATGCCTGGGGCTCAGAGACTTCCAGGAAGTCTCTGACAAGGAAAGTCGGGCAGACACTACAAACAATCCAAGCTGCCATAAGCATTTTCAGTTTGGCCCTACAGCCTTGGGGAGGCCGTGTCTACGTTGCGTGACAGCTATGAACCCAGAGTTGCCTTCCGCGGAATCACATTTCACAACAGAGAGTAGGACACATCAGCTCTTACCAGCTAGGAGCTTGAGGAAAACTATATAAACCACTCTGAATTCAGAGATGCCATGCCTCCTCACCCCAACTGATCCACCTGCCTCCCAAGGCACTTAGAGGCAGTGCCATCTAGGGCCACATAAACAGTTCTCAGCAGGGAACCACAAACTAATGAGTGGTCCTTTCTGGATAATGAGGGTGCCAGCCCAGTACACACAGCCCCATCCAACATGGGTCATCTTCTGACATTGCCGTACCGTGTTATCTACACGTGCCTGAGGACCTCACCACTGACTTACCCCCAAAAGTAAAATATAAAAATCTCACGACGCCTTAAATACATTTGAGATTTGTGTTGACCCACACGCACTGCTATTCCAGTGTGGCGACCCTGGGCTGCATTGGGCAGGTTACCCAGCCTCTGAACCTTCACTTCCTCAAGTAGGAAGGCAAACACAGGTACCTCCCCAGCTGAGCTGACAGCAGAAGATACTGCCTCAGCGCCTGGCCGGACACCCTTCCTTATCAGGCTGGTCACAATCCCTGCCGTCCACTCAGCTAACACAAGTTAAGGTGGCTACGGCTGCTCCACCCAGCTAGAACCAAGGTGTCTCTTGACGGGACCTCATCTGAGACCCATGCTGGTGAATCAGCTCTTGCAGTTCTTGCCTCTGAGGCAGAGCACACAGCAGCCATGGTCCTTGCAGGTAGACGGTTCCTATGCATGCACTGTCTCTATCCAGACCTCTGCTGGCCACAAGACCACTGTCCTGACTTGACCTTCCACCTTTTCCAGAGCCGATCACTCTAGTCTCGACCAACCTCAACACCGAGTCCCCAAGGCAAGGAGACGGTCATCTCATGTTAAAGCCAAGGAAAGCGAGACCTGGAGAAGGAAGGGAGCTGGGGAGCCCCCAGCCTAGTGATTCGCCCAGGGCCCCATTGGCTTTGGCAAGGGTGACCTATTCCTTCTGAGGTCATTTATTTGCTCTCTTCAATGTCAACAGAGTCTGACGGGCTAGATAGCTGAGCACTAAAGGACTTGCTGTACACGGCCAGCCTGGGGTCACCAGTCCTTGTCAGGCACACAGGAGGTCTTCTGCAGCAGACAGCTCCCTGGGGGCTCTGCTGCCTGCTCTTGGGTGTCGCATATTAAATGACACCATCACCTCTCCTTTATTTTGTGAATATCTGCTAGCTCCCTCGGTACTGTAGTGGTGTGGCCAAGCACCTTCTGGAAGAATCCACTTAGTGTGATGGGCCTCGTGCCCTTCTGGGACTCCCTAGGAACTCACTTCAGCCTTCTCTCTCTGAGAGCACTGGACTCTGGGAACAGCAAAGGGTCTCATTGGAAGTCACCCATGAGAATGTCCCCTGCTGTCTTCAAGCCTTGGTTGTCCCAGCTTGAGTGGGGAGGGGATGCTCTGAAGGGAATTTTTTTCAGGGGTGACACAGGACAGGTGACACCTCCTCTAGGAAGTGCTCAGGAAAGAGTAGTTCTCCAATTATTGAGCAACTGCTACAGAACAAAAGCAGGTAGCACGCATTAGGCGCTTACTACATATCAGACTTAGTTCTAAGACCCTGACGTATATTGACTCCTTTATATTCACCGTGAGCCTATGTTGCGTTATTGTATTCCCTCTTTCTAGGTAAGGGTACATAAAGCAAAGTTCAGAGAGGTTAAGTGACTGGCGACAGGTTACACAGTTGTCCTTCGGAAAGACCGTAAAGGGCTATATCCCAATACCACCAAGCAAGCAATCAGAGCTCAAACTTTAGAATTCCTTTAGAAGTGGGGAAGAGTCGGAGGACCGAGAGAGAAGGACCAGGGAGAGGCAAGGAAGGGAGAAGGGGAATCGGTGCTCCTAGAGGGAGGCAGTCTCAAGGCGCGAGGGTTTCGACCCGGGGCCACCATACCTTGGGCGGCAGGGCGAAGAGAATGGGCAGCAGAGCCAGCGGCGCCAGCAGCAGCACCAGCAGGCGCCGCGCGCTCCACACCTTCTTGGCCAGCGCCGCCAGCGCCGCCATCCGCGCGATCGCCGGAGACCGGGCGGCCGGACTGCCCCTCAGCGGCCGGGCCGGCAGGGACCTAAAGCCCCGAGGGACGGGGAGGAGCCACGTGGAACCGCCCCGGCCGCGCCTCCTGGGCTGGGGAAAGTCGAGGACAAGGAGCAGGGAAGGGGCCCCCAGCACCCTCCGCCCCTGCACCCCACTCACGTGGGAAATGGGGCAAAGCCCAGGTGGGGCTAAAGGCCTCAGCACTGTCACACCAGTTCAGACCCTGTAGGGACAGACCAGGCTCCTGTGACCTCTAGTAACCATGGTTGCAGCCTCTTCCAGCCGTGGAGGTTGGCGGGGAGTTTCAATGAGATGGTGCTTCGTGCAAAGGGCCCAGTCACCAGTGGGTAGGGGTTTTCCCTTCGCAGTGACAGATGCCACGACCTGCTTGATTGTGTATGTGTGTTGGGACAGGCTCTCATTTAGCCCAGGCTGGCCTGAATCTCCCTGTGCAGCTGAGGACGACCTTTAACCTCCATCCTCCTGCCTCTACTTTCTGAGTGTTGGCATATGGAAGTGTGCCAAAGCCCCCGGTTTCATATGGGCAGCTGCTAGGTCAGCTTATGATCCAACCTCCACTATTTTAAGAAACCAGGGACTCTTTCCTCTTACGCTGCACTTTTTACATTCCCGACAGCAGCCCATGGGGGCCCAGCTTCTCCACACCCTCCGCGGACTACTGAGCAGCGAGTCGGACTCTTCTGTTTCCCAGAGATGCTGGGAAGGATCCTAAGGCCTTGACCATGCAAAGCAAGAGTAACGAGGCCTGACTCTGCCCTCTGCCCTGAGCGGGTCCTCCACGCTTCTTGGGAGGGTGACATGTTTCCACAGTGGCTACTGTCGATGGAGACCTTGGCCTGGCTACTGGGTCCTGAGAGGTTTCTGTGGAGAAAGAGCCTTGTTGGGCGGTTTCTTGCTTTTTGTAGTTTTTGTGGAGGGTTTTGACAGAACATTGCATGGACACAGCTTGTAACCTATAGGCGCTGTTACCTTACCGGTTACTGTGAAATATGAAAGCCTCATTGATCCCTGTGTCCCTTTTGCTTATCCGTCCCTAACACTGCTGCTGCTCTGCAGACATTTGGAATCGTGACCATGCTCTGGCCTTTGTCTCAACTTCAGACTTAGAAAACCCAAGCTCTGGTTAACATGGCTGACTTCAGTACAGCCACAGTGATCTAATACTCTCTCAAACAGAATGAAATACGACGATCAGCACGGTCTCCTGACAACACGTGCCCATATTCTCACATGCCTGTACACATACAC